TCCTATATCCTTTTTTTTTTTTTTTTATTGCATATGTGTGTGTTATAGATGCTGTGCAACATAATCATCTGACATCTGATGCCATGGACCAAGAAACTGAGACCAGTTTTTTATAAAATCAGTTGTTTAATTACATATCTAGAAAACCTTTTTTCTTCCTAGCACTTGTACGACAAATCAAGAGATTATGATGATGAGGTACTAAATGAAAATCATTTTCACAACTGTCCAGACATTGAAATCTGTAGCTGAAGAAGAGATTAACCGAATCTGCTGCCATCAGCTGAATGCCACTCTATTGACAACCAGGGTGAGCAGCTCAGAAACAGTCCTGACTTCAAAAAGCAACTGGTAAGAATGTCAGTTCAACTCAAGCAGAAAAAGTTGTCTAATGCTAACCGTGTTGGGGATTCAAAATTACACAGATAATCTAACAACGAGTTATCTACTATGAAAGTAGCTGAAACTATTGAACTTATGGTTGCATGCTATTCAGACTAACTAGTTCAGATTTTTGGCTGATAATTTCAAACATGTTTGAAATGGTTAAGGCATGTTATACTGTTGATAAACTAACAAAGAATTATCAATTTTCAGAAAAACACTGGCTGTTAAAGGTGGGGGAGACATTAAAGAGTATATAAAGAGAGTCATGGGTGCAACGTTAACACATTCTCTGGCCAAGAATATCAACATGTGAAGTATAAATGGGCAGACTGCCTTACAGCACATGTAGATAAAAGATGTTGTGATTGATAAGTTTGACTTACAGACTCATTCACAGATTCACTTTGACTATACATCTTATAAAAAGCTATAAAAGCTGGCTTTACACTATAGGTCTTGATGTCCAATTCTGAATTTTTCCCTAAATCCTATTTTTGAAAAATTGCATATGTGTGTTATAGCTGCTGTGTGACTTAATCATCTGAGATCTGATGCCACGGACCAAGAAATTCCAAATCGACTTCAACATACACCAGATAGGAATGGTGGGCGAAGCAAACATGGGAATAACGGAGCAGCAATACATTTATGAATGTTTATGAAAGGATATGCTAAACTGTTCACTGAAGTTTCTGCTGTTTGAAGAAAAGATAGTATTCCATTGCCTTTTTGCAGTCTTAAATTTAATGCAATGTTTTAGTATCCCCCCCCCACAAATTTCAGAGTTTGGGTTGTATGCTGTTCTGTCTTTGACCAATGCTTACACTTGCAAAATTTACCTGAGTGACATAGTGCAAGACTGCAGAGTGTAGGATGAAAAAATCAGAATACACAGACATGAATCTGGAATTGTTCATCTTTATTACGAGTTTAACTAGAGGGGAGCTGCTGATATCTACAACCCTTGCAATACATTGCATTAGTTGTCACACGTTATTACATGGCTTGATAAAGGCATACATTAGGCTAACATCTGGTGCCAGTGCTGAAACTGTACTTATAACCAGCCAACATATCACAAAGAATGATGGTCCTTGGGTGGCTCAGAGCTGGCAAATGATGTTGGTAATGTATGT